CAGTTAGTGACACTACGACACAGTTTTCTTCGTTAATCGAAAAATTACTTTCATTAACTAGTACAAAACACAGCAACAAGAAACAGATCAATGCATATTTAAATGATCTTAACGAGTTGGATTACAGATGCCTCAATATTGTAAATAATGATGTAAGAAATATTTTAGTGACTAATATTAAACACGTTGTACTTAAACTATACTTCATCATTTGTTGAAATTATTGTAATCTAATTCCAGGCGATATTATTATTGGTGAATCAACTTTGCGCAGCAGTCCTACCTACAGAAACATCTCTAGTTCAAAATGTTTGTAAATTTCTATGCAATCTAACTCAGAGCAACATCAAGCTTCATGGTCGAACATTTGTAATCTGCAGACGATGGATTTTAGAAGCATTAGAATTTTCTGATCCACTGGCACAAATTGATATATTAATCACTATAAAAAGCTTTTTACATTCTGGTTATTTTGATGACATCAATTATGTTAGTATATTTGTTTTTCAGCAACAAACGGATTATTAAGCTAAATTGTTGTGTTATTATATAAAATTAGGCATTTGATGTTTCAGCATGTACGTCTGTTACTTAAAGATAAGTGTTTGTTAATGAAGTATTTAGATCCATCGTGTAATCCATGGTCTGAAATTAATTTCCATGCACTTGGATGTTTAGAAGAAATTGTAATGAACGAAAGCAATAATCATTGCTTAACAGATGAATTTATATGTTTAATAAAAGATATAATTTTAAAAATTTTGTCGTGTTTACCATATCATGATGATGATAAATTTTACTACAGCAAGGTATGTAATTTGTGTTATTTAAAAGGTATAAATATATATACATTTCATTAAATCACTTATACATTTATAGGTCATAAATTTATGCTTGCACATTTTGCATTGTATAATCATTGAGAAATTGATCCTTAATTCTCCTGATTTTATTGGAGAGATATTAGGAGTTATGCAAGCATTTCTATTTTATGGTATCAAAGGTTATTCAGTTACAAGGCCACAATTACTTCGTCCAGCTGCAATGAATCTTCCAGAACGTGTTCATACAGTTCCCAAATGCAAAAATCTTAAAAACTATAAAACAAAATCCAAGAAAACACTAGCCAAGAAAACTACGTCTGATTCAGGAAATAATGCCATTCATGAACACACGGGAATTTCCAAATATTCCAGTGATTCAGATACTTCAGATACAGAGATTAATAATTCTATTCATATTGATTCTAAAGTAAGATTGGGAGCTGTACGTTTATTGCAGAGTCTAATAGAAATCACTCGAAGTAAAGAGATTTTTGGATACTGGCCTCAAATTGTAGCTACTGGTTCACGAAATGATGCAAAAGTATTGACTAGAAGCATATTAGTGGAACCTGTATCTAAAGTGCGACAGAATATATTGTGTGCATTAACTGAATTGCTGATAGATGCTAAACCATTTTTAATACATGCTGAGGAAACCAATCATACTTCTTTCATCACATTCTTCGGCACAGTATGTTTAATGGTCAAGGAACTGCATTTTACATTATCATTAATTTTGTTGGCTGAAAAAAACGTAGCTGTATTAACGCACGCGTTAAAATGCACAGCAGCTCTTGTACAGGGCACACCATACGAACGACTAAAACCTGGTTTGGCTACCAAATTAGTTAGGAATTGTAAGCCACACATATTTCACAAAGGTACATCTCGCTTTATTATTCTATTTTTAATTGATTACTTCCATTACAGTTAAGTTATTTTTCTAGATCCGACTGTACGAGTTGCAGCACTATCTATTTTTGAAGCATTTGCCTCAAGTGAACCTATAACACAGGAAATATTAAACATATTAACCAAGCAAACTGTAGGTGAAATAGGATCAGAAGGTTCACAGTTTGATACTAGTTCCGTCAGTGACATTGGAACAGAAGAAGAGGAAATAGATATCGAGGATATCGAAAATTCAACAAATAGCTGTAATGAGATCACATCAATATCAAAAGATGAAAATGTTTGTTTGCTTGTTCGCATTTGTTTACAAAATATATCTAATAAGGTATATATAAATGATATATATTTTTTCGTGCAATTTAAAGTTTTTTTGTGATTAAAACAATATCAGTCAAACTGAAAAGAATTAATTTAATTTCATTTTAGTCCATTAATACACCTGTACGACTTCAATCTTTAAAACTTATGGGCAGATTGGTATTCAATACAGGAAACCTTGTATTTCCTCACTTGGAGAACGTGACTACGACTTTAATTTCAGTTATGGAAGAAACAGAAAGCCAAGTAATATTACATGCATGTCGAGTTTTAGAGATTATGTCCGGTTGCCTCGCAAATACTGAAACTTGTAGCAGTGGAATATTATTTTGGAACATTATATTTGAATCTATAATATCACTCGCCCAAACATCACAGACTATATTGCGAGAAGCTGCTTGCGATTGTCTAGGTAGCATCAGTGGAAATGTATTTACACAATTATCGGTAAGAATACAGAAATTGAAAAGGATATAATTATCCAAATTTTTATTTTTTTATTTATGAGTTCATGACATTCATAAGCTAAATATTTTTAATGTCATCTCTAATATTCTGATTTACTTTCATTTATATTTGCAGAGACAAAGAGTTATATTAATAATTACAATACTATTTGGGGCAGTTCGTGATGAAGAAAGTGCTGTAAGAGCAGCCGGCTTACGTGCATTAGGAATGTTGGTAACTTTATCGGTTTTGGAACATGATACTGGTTTTCTCATGGATCTCGCTGATACAGTTTGTACAGCTTTTGAAGACAAAAATCTTGGTGTTCGTGTAAAAAGTGCTTGGACATTAGCGAATTTGTGTGACTGTCTTTCCAGGCAAAAGTTTGTTTTTCAGACTTCTCTTTCTATTATCTTCTTTGCGATATATCTTCTTTATTTATATAAATACATTTTTTATCCAGACAGCATGAAGATGTGGAACCATTTCCTTTAGAGGATTCATTACCCAAACTGTATCATATAAGCGTTAAGGCTGCAAAAGATAATGATAAAGTGAAGTGTAACGCCGTTAGAGCAATTGGAACTATTTTATATTTATGTCCACAGAAACACATACTTTCTGACACGGCAATGGGATTGGACGCACTTATCAAATGTGCTATTTTAGGAAACGATATGAAAGTAAGAGATAAGATAATAATTTTATAGATGTAATTATTATTATATTATTAATTCTCATAATTGTATATAATATACAGGGTGTCACATAAGTTTTTTTCCATCGCTTTTGTGTAGATAGAGCAGACTAAACTGTGTTGAAAGGTCCTCTACTACTTTGCAATTTTTGCAATAGTTAACGAGATATGAATTTTTAAATATAGGCAAATAAGCGCGTTTACTCGGCCCACCGATCGCTTGGCGCGAGATTCATGGGGAGTGAGGATGGCCTACTAGCAAGCGCACCGTCCAATGAAGCTCGCGTCGGTGGAGCGCTTGCCAGGTAGTCTCCGCTTTCCGCGCGCCAAGCGATCGGTGGGCGTATACACTTGGCAGCAGTATATATAACTCAAAATTAAATTTATTTATAATCAAATTGATATATGTGCATTAAATGTCTTGTTATTGTTTTGTAATGGCGAAATATATAGCTGTAAAAAATATATCTTAATTTTTTTGTAATTATATCTTAATTTATTTAATATATATATAAAAGTAAATATTTTTTATTTATAACATTAGGTACGATGGAATGCTTGTCGAGCTTTAGGATTGGTTTTGAGCCACGATCCGGATGCGATATTACCATCTTCTTGGAAAGTATGTAGTTGGAAATGTGATTAGTGAATTTATCTTATATAAAAGTGTAAAGTTAGATATTTTTATAGGATCAAGTATTTCCAGCGCTTTCGACTTTAATATGTGATAGCCCTAATTTTAAAGTAAGAACCAACGCTGCATGGGCACTGTCTTCGTGTAATGATTATGGTAAATATACTGTAATGTTGTGGAAAAATATTGTATTAGCATTTGAAAATGCTCAACATGTCCCAAGTTACGTTGAATATCCGCACCGAGATGCACTTATTCAGCAAGTAAGTATGCTTTCTTATAATATATAATAGTATTCTTGAAATATTATTGATTATGTATTAATACAAAAATATATATCTTTTAATTATTATTTAACAAGCACAAAATATTTTTCAGTTGTGCCTTACTCTTAGTCGCGTAGCTGCCCATACAGAAAAATCCGAACTGCAAAGTCTTTGGATGGAGATTGGAGACCATTCAGAAGAAATTTCCAATTTCATGAAACAATTTCAGGTATATATATTATATAAAATATAATTATATATATTAAATCAAATATACAGATGGAGAAACGTAATTTTATAATTTCTGTGTATTGAAATCTTGTTGTAGGAGACCGTTTTACCTGAAAAGCTAGGAGATTTAATTAAGGCAAAAGCCCAATTAACACAACATGTGAGAAATGCACGGTCTATTGAGGAACGACAAATCGCTCAATCTTTGGCAAATATATTTGAGAAAACTAATCGTTATGACAATCTAGATGCCATTACCTCTACAATATAGAGTTATATACATATATATACACAACTAAAATGATAAAAGAAGTAAAACAATGTAACCTATTTCTTAATATTGTTTTTGCTTTGCCCGAGCATGGGGTACCATGGGTCATTTTTAAAAATTCTTTTTCGATTTTTATTTAAAAAACAAATCAATATTTATGGAAACTGTTAAATAAATTTTAAAATATATATTATCCCTTAATTATATAAAAAAATTGAGACCAAAAATCCTGTATTTTAATATATTTTTAACTGTTTGAATTTTTGTGATTATGGTGCCCTGATCTCCCCTAAATAAATGGAATTAAAAATATATATTATGTAAATTAGTTATATTGTCTATAAAACTTATTACTTTAATATTGTCTATAAAAAAAATTCATATAATATGAACTCTTCTACTATAATATATATACACAGTATAATATATAATTTTGGTCACGGATAAGTAACTGGATATATAGATAGCTTTAAAATTCAAGTTTCCACCGAAGCTCTCAATTCGGCTCCAATATGGTGCACATCAAATTTAAAGTAATGTTTCTTCATTGAATTTAGACTTTGTAGATCAAAGCAGGAATGAAATGAGTACACTCAAACACATTTCCATTTTGATTGCACTCCATATTAGAAGATTTAGTGAAAACACTAGATCAATCTCAAATTCAACAAGAGATATCAGACGATTAATATACATGTCAAGTGCCATTTTCACATTCAATACTTTTACTTGATACCTCAGATTGTGTCTTTAATGTATTTTCTTGATTTTCTCCCACAAATAATGATGATTCCTTTTCTCTCGCTGTTATTTCATTTTCATTCATAGACACCTTCTTAGAACTTGTCATTTTCTTCAGTTACTTCACTATTTTCTATAGTTTCAGTTTATTCTCATCTGAACTCTATCGTCTTCGCTATGCTTTTCATCCATGATGGCACTGTCTTTTTTTTTATTCAAGAATATGATTAATGCCTTTTCGAATCGGACTGATTGTTGATGTGTATGAAGTTTTATTCTATTTAATCAATACAATACACATATGTTTTGATCCACGATTTAGATCCTTTTCAATATTTCAATATTATTTTGAATATAACCCATGTTAACATTATTTATAAATGTACCAAGAATAATGATAACAGTGTTATATTTATAATAATATTAAAACATTGAAAAGGATCCGAATCGTGGATCAAAATGTATGTATATTGTATTAATTAAATAGAATAAAACTTCATATTAACTATACACCAATCAGTGTCTGACTTGAAAAGGCATTAATCATATTCTTGGATTTATTCAACCAAGCCCTATTATCATTATTAATTATGTATATTCTTTCTTATTGTTAGCTTCCATAAGTTTTTTCTGCTTATGTCCCTGCTTCTTCCTTAATCTTTTAGCACGTTTCTTCGCTGTGGCCTCCTCTGCCAATCTTTTATTCTCTTCTAATTTCTGATGATATTCGTCATCTAAAAGCTCCTATAATTTTGATTAAAACATATTTTAATAAACAGAAAAAATAAATGATTGTTAGACAACTCGATATGTATATTATACAATAATCACCTTATGTGCCTTCTCCTGAATAAATTTTTGCCGAGCATATTCCTTACGTCGCAGATGTCTGTACACATGAAACTCTCCACTACCTGCTCCAGCACTACTACCCATAACATTACGAACAAATTCTGGTACAGAAGGTGTATTCTTGGCTTTCGGACGTTCCGGTAGTATTACCGGTTTATCCTGTACAGTTAAAACAAAATTATATATAGTACAATTCTGATTAAAATAACGCCTAGATTAATAGATAAATCTAGAAGCTTTCTTACAACGTTCTTCATTAATTTCATTAGTTTTAATCTTTGCAGATCCACGGCTGTTTTTGGCACTATAGGTTTTTCTTCGTCCTTTTCCTTGTCATCTGACATTTTTCCAGTTCGTGAATACCAAGAAGTGAATAAACTCGACAATATAATTGTACGTGATTCTCTGATTCTCTCAAAATAAATTTGTTGGTTAGCTCATCAATAACAAACAGAAGTCCATTCTACAATTGCGTAAAGCCCATGGCACATACAAACGTAAGGCCGTAAAACGTAATCAGTAAGCGAATTGGCCAATCACAGTAGAGACCGTAAGGCCGGTAGCGAATCCAATGTTACGATTTCCTTAACTGATACGTCTTACGGCCTTACGTTTTTCTATGTGTTTCTGGCTTAAGTGTAGTTGTAAATGGTTTAATGTAGTTGTACGAATTAACCAATCATAGTCAAATAAGAAAAAATGTTCGATTGTGATTAGTCAATTCTTCCAACTACAGCGACTTACATCAAATTTACAACAGAAGTTGTAGTTGGTCGTAAGATCTTAAATCATACAAAGTTGACCAATCGTATTCGAATTTCTCAGAGAGAAACGTTGGAAGACTCTGGTATGTTCCAAAACTCGATCTGTCAACTCCGAGTATATTTTTGTTCAACATTTGGTAAATGACAAGGATAAATGATACTTAGATTGACAGAGTCGAGTTTTGAGACGCATCTTTGGGGTGAGATCCACTTAAACGCTGTAAATACTTCGTTGACAAATCAAAATAAAAAATTTATAAATTGACCAATCAAAGAAAGCATGTGCAATGTAAAAGCCGCATCACACACTTTTGCATAAGAAAATCAACAAATCATAATCCTTCTTTTCCTCCCACTTCATGGAAGAGAAGCATTTTCATTGGTTGATTTTTTCTTGTGCGTTATTCATTATACGCCATGAAAAAGCGTGTATTGCGACCATAAAGTGGATCATACCCATATCCCATATCTTTCATTCCACTTACACAGGGTGCGTTCCATCATTTTGTCTTTCTTGGCTGCGTTCACGCATATGCGCGCATTCCCCTATAGTATACGTGACGCTTACTATATAAAATGCGCGCAATGTCAGAAACGGAACGCAGCCCTTGTTATCGAATATTAAATAAGGATGAGATGATACACATGATCGTTGCGAACGTTAGGATCTACGCACAATAGGAGAAATATTAGGAAACAGATATTAAATATAAGAATTTTAACCTGTCAGAAAACGCACATTCCACAATACACAGTAATTCTGATAGGTTAAAATTCTTATATTTAATATATGTTCCTAATATTTCTCCTATTATACGCAGTCTTAAGTGGAACGCCCCTATATAGTGATGCCTCGTACTCACGTATGCGCGCAATACAGGGTATCAATCATGTAACTTTTTCTCTAGAGCGGAAACGTGAAAAGTGAAAATTTTTATGAATGATATGTATGACATATACACACATACATGCAAAAAATTTTCACGTTTCCGTCCGAGAGAAAAAGTTACATGATCGATACCCAAGTATTGTTCGTTTTGTCTCTCGGGAGCTGCTCGGAGTCGCTCCGAACAAACCCAGCATACTTGGATACAATTCATTTAATGCTGCAAATGCTTCGTTGATCAATCAGAAGAAAGAATTTTACGTATTGATCAATCAAAGAATGTTTCGAGGTATTTACAACATTAAATGAATCACATTCAAGTACACTGGGTTCGTTCGGAGCAACTCCGAGCAGCTCCCAAGAGACAAAACGAACAATACCCCAGTATCTAATTCGTTCGTGAAACTAGCGTCCTTGAGAGTCGTGAAAATCGCCCCAAAGGGAAATACAATTATAAATATATGAGTTACAATTTTTTTATTTACTGATGAAATGTATTTTATGAAAATACACAAAAGATTTGTGTCACTTATATCGTTACTCTCGTCTATTAAAACTGAAAATTTAGGTGTTTTTAAATTTTGAACAATTTTTTCTACCATTTGTTGTGCATTGAAATTTTTTACTATTTGTGTGCATTTAGTCCGTGACAGTGTAACCTTTGTGAGACGTAAATATATATATAAATTTGTCAAATTTCAACAACGGAATTAATGATCTACTTCGATGACTACAGCTCAGCTGTAAACAACGCGCATGCGTGAATGCGGGGCATGCTGTGTCTCATCACTGATCGTATGTACATTTAAAGAGACAGCTGAGATTTGAAAAAGATTGTTCAATAAACGTGAAGAAGTCTAACTGGAAATTTCAGAATAATTTTTCCAAATTAGGTATGTGTCTTGTATGCGATACCTCTTAACAACGAACATTCATTAAATCTTGGGGATTTATAGAAATTATAGAAATATATAATATAATTATATCATCATATCGGTAACTTAACCTACTCGTTTTGTTATCATAAACTAAAGATGCTACATTATTTTATGCAAAATAAGTGTCTGCCGATTTTTTTTCATAATAATATATTAAATAATTAATCTGATTATATTTAATTATGAGTAGTATTAGATGCTTATATAATTAACTGCAAAAAAGAAATATATAAAAATATCCTAATTTTGATACATTTTTTTAGATTTAATACAAACATAATGGAAGAGATAAATTATTTCATGGATGATTCAATAACAGATGTTTCGCCTACCATAATAGATATTATTGATTTAACTAAGGAATCACCAAATACAGTCAGACGTTCAAGATCACAAAGGAGGAATGATGAAGATGTACCTTCTAACCATAATATAGGTTCACATAGTCATAGAATCGTCATGCCTATACCTCCTATTGTTTTAGGAAACACACAAGATATTCCAACGTTTGTATATGTCTTATTGGTTTTCTAATGAAAATTCAGATTTATTCTAAAGTTAAAAATATATTTTTAGAAGAAATACTAGAAACAGAGAAAGAGTTTCTCATGCTACAAGCTCAAATGAAGTTTTGACCCTTGATAATACTATGGAAGAAGATAAAATATGTTATACTGTTGAATCAGATGCTAAAGAACCAATACCTCTCACATGTCCAATATGCTTTGAAGTACTATCTTCTAAATTAAAACCTTATACTACTCGTTGTGGACATCTGTTTTGCTCAGAATGTTTGCAGACATTTCTTCGTACAGCTAAAAAATGTCCAACTTGTAAAGCAACTGTAGCTTTAAGATCTTGTACTCGTTTATACTTTTAAATATTGTATGCTGTTCCATATCTTTTTGTAGTAGTTCATTTTGTAACTCCATTTATATATATATATAAATTGACAATTGTAATCTGCTTTAATTGTTCTTACACATTAAAAAACCTTTTCATGTGGAGAGATATGTTCTTAGAATATTTTATAGTTTTTAAGGGATACATTTAATGTATACGTTTTTTCAATTTATATTCTAAACAGATGGAATGGTAAATTTAAAATATCTAGAAAAGTATTGAAAATTTTTTATTTATTAATTTATAAACAAACGTTAATTTTTAAGATAAGACATGATCAAGACAATTACAGAGTCAAAAGTTAGTTTATTACTGCGATTAAAATATATTTTCAAAATAACAAATTATTATGTACTTTGTGTTATAATATTAAAATATGATTAGAAAGAAATTTACAGTTCGTCTTTTAATGATTTTAATTTAATACAATTATAGTACATTTATAATTCAATATATGTGTATGTATGTGTGTGTGTATACTTTTCTCATTTATACAATACATATATATTATTTGTTTACATTACTTGAGTATGCAACCTTAACATATATATTAATTCTTATAATAGAATAATTACTTCTTTTCTGCTTAGACAGTACATGCAATCTTGATTAAAGATATGATAAGACATGCAATCTTGTTTAAAAATAAAATCTATTTTAAAAAGGTATAGTGTACCTCTCCAATGTTTTCAAAGAAAAAAAAATATATAAACAATGTTCTTGATACAACATTATTTTTCATTGGAACTATTATAAGATTTTTAAGTAATTACAGGATTTTCCCTAATCAATTTTAATTTCTATCATATGATTTTACCTGTATTACATGTAACTATTCTGATTGCAGTTGAAGTATGTACTGAAAGATTATTATCTCGTAATAATAACATATCTATTACAGTTCAGTACTGGAAATTGTGGAATATAACCAATATAATTTTGTCTAGATAACCAAATAAATGAGAAGAACGAAATATAATCAACTTGAGTCTGTAAGTAATGAGGTGTCTACATTAAAGATTTTTATTAATATATTCAGTCATTATTCATGGTGTACATAAATTTCGGCAGCTACTGATCTAGAAAAATAAACGTTCTCAGGATTTCATGCTCTTTCAGATTAATTAAAACAGTATCTTTAAGTACGGTATTTTTATAATAACAGTATTTTTTAAGAATATAAGAATCCTTAGTTTTAACTTTATTTATTAATTGTATTTAAAACAGTATCAAATCAGCATCGAATAATTTTGAAATAAGAATAAATGACGCGACAAAAAGAAAATAAGATATTAAAATTTTTATGTATTTTACCAGATGGTAATTGACAAAATCCGTTGTAAAAAACCGAATACGTATCTATACTTAATAAATAATACAATTGTGATGAAAAAATGACACTATATGTATTATACATATGTATAAAAATACTTCGGAATGATTTGACATCATAATCAAATTTATCTGCAATTATGAAGAAGATTGATGAAATTTTCTGTATAATAGTTTTAAATACTATAGGTATATATATATATATATATATATTCATATGCATGTATATATATATGCATATACATATGTTTGTACGTACAATGTAAAAGTAACATGCTTATATTATATGTAATATAATATAAGTATGTGTTATATATTTTGGGATACATTCGCAAGAAATGCTATTATTATCTGTATTATTTTAGCTTTGCTGTTTATTAAATATAAAACGAGGATACCTCCAAACACATCTATTGTCACATAATTGCATAATATTACATAAAATATCGTATATACAATATATATATAATATATTACATATACATATTAATGTACATATTTAATGTATATTCATATATGTACACTATGTATATACATAAATATATAGAGAGATGTATATCTTTGCTCATTACTCAAAGTAAAAAGGCTTAATTTTGTGTGACTCTAGATTTATCTGTAACTGTCTATAGATTTGTCTTTGAATCTGTATATTCTTTGAATCGTTATTACTCCTAAATTATTATCCTTTAAATTATTATCAAACGTTGTAACGAATTTACAAGTGAATAATAAAATTTGATCCTCTGTGACGTTTATGTTTCTGATTCTTTCCTGAAGCTTCGCATAAGATTAAGCGGACTAGCCCACGTCCGCGCGCGATGAAAAAACCAGTGGTATAAAAATTTCGTAGATAGATTCCTTAATTTGTGACGGTAAATAATCAGAAACACTCCCGCGTATTATCGGCTGTAAAAGATATCAGCCGGTGGCCGCGAACAGTAGCGGGATTCGAAATCCCGCGCTATTATTGGCGAGACGTTACCCGACAGTGCTCGAGCGGCCCGCCATTGGCCGGGCGCGTTCAAGGCCGTGACGTCACGTCATGGCGGCATAGCAGACGGACGGGGGTACACGCGCAGCTGCCTTTTGACTGTTCAGACCGTGCGAGGGTGGAAGGGTCGCGCGCGCTGCGATGAGGACGGCGCATGGTGTTGTCGTCTTCGCGAGTTCCTGCGAGTGTCAGCGCGTTTCCACACTCGCGACGGTGTTACGTGCACGTCAGCCGTGCCAAGGCACGCGATTAGACTCCGCTTAGCTTGGCTGCCGCACATCCGACACGCACGCACGCGCGCGCGCGCGCGCGGGCGCGGGCGCACACGCGGAATCGCAAGGAGAGACATACCGAGCGATCCTCCCGTTTTGTCCGTGTCATTGACTCAGGGCGAAGTGTCAAAATCTGCCCGTGCCCGTTCTCCGCCGACCCCTCCCCGTCATCTCGCGAGTCATTTTAAAACGGTCCGTGAATCATTTCGCCGCCCGGCGGATCCTCGGCGTCATTTGGCTGACGGAAGACCCCGACCGAGGGACAACACACGACGGGTGACTAAGGTCGACAGGAGCGTGTATGTATGTGTACTTGACGTATCAATGTGCGCTTTGTTTTCCTTCTCCTCTTGTTCTTTCTGCAGTGCGCCGCTGAAATTCGTCGCGCGCTGACGATATCGACGAGCGTTTTTAGGCGGCTTCGCTCTCTCGCGCGAGAAACGCGAGAGGATTTCGCGACGCAGCGCGTCGCACACCAGTTTACCTTCGTCGCTTCCCCGATCTCGTCCGCGGAACGACTTGATTTAACAACGCTCGATTATCATAAGTTACTTCGAGAAGAGAAAAGAATAATCTATATATCTTACCATATTTAATCTCACGCTAAATGTCATTGAATATGTTATTGACAGATTGATTATTCGTCGAGTTTGTCCGTTAAACTGCTATCTGAATATTTGCTAAACAGATCGTTTTAATTTGAAATTAATTATCCATTCGTTAAGTAGACATTAATGACTGAAATACACATTTGGCAGACATACTGGTAAAATGTGTACATAAACATACGTGTGTATGTGTGTGTGTGTGCGCGCGCGCGGTGTGTGTGTGTGAATAAAAGTTGCTGCTGCAAACAGATTATAGTTACATAATTATATAAAGAATTTGCACCTGAACATAGCTTGTAGCATATACATGCGTGCGTGCGTATGTGCGTGTATATGATTGTATATGTATATAGATATATAATGCTTTTGTACCAAATAACTTTATGAATGCTATTTATAAATCTGTTTATAAACGTAGCACTTGTTTGTCTCTGATTTCAGGCTAAACATTTTGTCAAAGGCTGAATAATGCTTGAAAGATACGAATAAATATATAATACTACAATTTTGGCATCAAAAAAACATTACCAAAAAACATATTAATCATGTATCCAAGATACATTTAATTAAATTTTATTGTCAGTGATTATTACGTTTGGCAAGGTTGGAGAGTAATGCCGGTTCATCAGATTAATGTAAATCCGCCTGATTGGCAACCACCATTGTCAATTGGTCCTTCCAATAATTCGAGTCCCGCTGGAGGAGAAGCTCTATCAGAATGGATACCACAGGTGACCATTCTATTGAGAATTAACATGCATTACTTTATTTAACTCTTTTAAGTCTGAGAAAAATATGAAAAATATGACGTCTTTTCTGATGTGCTTTTTTCTGCAAACTGCAGAATCTTTGTGTCAGGTTTTCCTTTCTACAGAAACGTTAGTTTTACCTAACTATAATTTTAAGTTATTTTATGTGATTGGAAATAAACAATTTTTTTGAAAAAACGCAACGAAAAATAAATCATATTTTTCAGTTAATTTCAAGTAAACTGTATTTGACAAAATTTTAACTTAAACACAGAAGATATATAATTTTATAACAAATAATATTTTATCTCGTATTTTATTTCCGTTAAAGTGGTTAGACTGAAGAATCTGCAGTTCAAAAAGTTAGTAGAAGTCACTTATTATGTTCCGAAAATAAATTAAAATACAAAATCAATATTGCGAAAGCGAAAACATAAAGTAGAATGTTTGTAATGAGATATTTTATATTTTTAGATATTATAATTTTTTTTATGTCACTTTGATAATTATTAATGTATCCCGATAACGTATTATCAGAGAAATATGTTGACATAAATTATATAGGAAGATAAGAATATCTTGATAATGACCTCTTCCTGTTGTGACTCATAGAAATATTCTTATTTCAGAATTTTGCTTATGGTACAGTAGTTACTATTATACCAGATGATTGCCATTCGTCTGTGAGCACATTATCTTCGACCAACCATGATATTTGCAGGTAAATAGACCATAGTAATATTACGTATGTATCATTACTATATGTAATTGTACATTATACCATGTTTAGATACGTCCATGTGACAATTTTTATTTTACTGTGGGAAAATCTAACGCATTTTGTAAAATAGGATCTGCCATTGCGAAGGTGAAGAAGGCGCCCCTTTATTAGCACCTTGCTACTGCAGTGGTAGTTTGCGCTACGTGCATCAAGCTTGCCTTCAACAATGGATAAAAGCTTCAGATACGCGCGCATGCGAATTGTGCAAATTCACGTTTATCATGCATGCCAAGACAAAACCGTT